GTGGTTATGATGAAAATATAAAGTTATGATACATGGATAAGGATCAGTTCGTTTAAGTATTTGAATACTTAATGTTGTTGGACAATTTGTATCTCGTATCCGTGTATTTACTGTATAGCTTTCATCATTTTTATGTTTTCCTTGCTTCAATTTAATGATATGGCTATGGATACAATGAAACCGTTTTGACAATATATAACAGATACCTTTAACAGTACAATCATGAGTTTCCCGCATTGTTACTTTATGCAAATTCATAAATTGCTGAAGCCATACTTTGGACTCTTCAATGGTAAGAATATTTATACGACAATTAATTTTAAAAGGTGTTTCATAAGCACCTAAAAAGCTATAAAGTTGAATTTGTTCAAACAAATCTATAAAATATTTATAATTACAAGGCAAAGCATTCTTGATAACAGGATCAAAGGTGTTTATAGTTTTTATATCAATAGCTTCAGAATAAGAAATATCATTTAATATTAACTCCATGATGATTAGGTAAGTCTATGTATGTTATCGTAGGTGATTTTGTGATTAAAAAAGTTTTGCAAAACTCGAAAGATTAATTTTATAATGAAAGTATTTATCGTTATGGTTTCAAATTAATGATATAAGGTGTTAGATATTTATCTACTGATGTCATTGTATGTATTCTGAATTGACTGGTTTTAACTGAATTTTTAGTAATGATGTAATATTTCAAATACTTATTTTAAAATCTACATAAGTTATGATTAATGTTTCAAATATTCTTATAAACTTGGATCTGCAATAGAATATAGGCTTATGAGATCATTAACTCAAGGTTTTAGATGTTAATTTCGATTTATACTGATGTCATTATTAGCATTTTATGCAGATTGTATCTGCACAGGAATTGTTACGATTTATTAGAATTATGAAATCAACAGCGTAAGGCTTCAGTACTTAGTACATAATATTTCACAATAGATACCATGGTTAGAATTAGAGATGTCACCCAAACCCGATGGTTTCAGCACGTAGCCAAACCAATAGCCAACACTAATTTGGAACTAGCCGAAATAAAATCCTTAATTATAATAATGATAACGATCGATAACAATAATACATTATAGTAATAGAAGTTAATTTTTTATAATGAATAACTATTTAATAAGTATTAATTTCTATTATTAAAAAGCATCAATTTTTTATATTTATTATTTGCAGCATTTATTTCATGTTTTTGTATTTTTTAATATTTGCAGCATTACATGTTTTTATATACTACGTTAATTATATTGTTGCTCTGTAGCTTTTAAGCTTTTTTTACAATATCGTCTAATAATTCAAAAATTTTAAACTTTTTTTTTTAAAAAACAACACAATTTATTTATTACTGTGTTAGCATAAACCGAGTTCGTTTTCTGTTAAGATTAACAAAAAATGAATTTATATAATAATAGTAATCAAAAAAGAATTAATAAATAATCAAAATACATCATTATATTTTTTAAGAACATTATTAATTAAAAGTATCATTATATTAATTAAAATGTCATTATATGTTTAAAAGTATTAAAATAATAGTTATATATATAAATTAAAAGCATTATTATATTGATTTTAATCAGCGATCATACGTAGCAAAAATTTCATCATCAGGATTTGGGCATATGCATTTGGGATTTGGGACAGTATTCGGGATTTGGGATTTTAAACAGTATTTGGGATCTGAGATTGCATTTTGGTTTTAACAAAAGCCCGAATTCCGACTGAAAATGGCCGTAAGTGTCAAAAAATGCTAAATAGTTTGGGTGACATCTCTAGTTGGAATCAAATGAGATCGTTTAAATTTATAAATATGTGCAATTCTTACAAGAAGTTGACTTAATAGCTAATTATTAGTTTTAAAGTATGTATTTTGATCAATTTTAAATTACTAGAAGTAGCAATTAGCATAAATTCAATATATTTACAATAGTTACAAGTATTGTGAGTTAGAACATTGGAATCACCCTATTGGAAGTATTATTAAAAAGAATTAGAAGTATATTTCTTAATAAAATAATTAGATTATCAGTTTCCAGTTAACTTTTTTTACTATTAGAGTATTGTTATATATTATAAGTTTAAGTTGATAGCAAAGTAGTTAATAGAACATATTAATACTGTTTAAAGAATTTCATTATATTATAAATTAATACATCTAAAATAAAAATTTTTAAAAAATTATTAAAAAACTAACTCGCAAAAGATTATTGCTTAAGATGTTATTTTAATATTATCGAAATTACAAAATAGTCATTTCTGAATTACATCTATGTATTGTTTATCTAATTCAATGTAGCAAACTCTGGTCGTAATCTGTTATCAGTCAATTAGATCAAAATATTCATTGAACTTATAAACTGGAACATTGGATTTACAGATTCCAATAAGAATGACCAACACTTTTCATATTTATTCAGTTGATATATAATAATAGTAAAACATAA